TGACGTGAATATATTTAGTATAGTTTTATCTAACAAGGATATATTTTTCAATGTTTTACCATTTTTATTTTTATGAAATTCACTGAGGAGGATGGTCCACCCCTTACTCCTCTGAGGAGCCTCCACTGACCTACAGTATGTTTTAACAGGGACGTTTGGAAGGGTGACCTTATTTTTAACTATTAAAATAATTTTGTCAAACAGATTGTGAACCAAAAAGTGAAAGTTGATTCTAGAGGGGGGACAATGAATAGAACAATTATTTGGTTAGGTTGTACGGGCAGATTTATGTTATCTTGTCTTCAGGAGATTTTATTTTATTATCAGGGTTACAGCTTTCAGGTCCTGAAAGATGCAGGTATAAGGGCCGGACGACTTGACAGAGAGAACTTGTTGCGAAGGGGAGTGCATCATGATGCACCTGAGAGAGTGTACTGTACTTTGTTACAAAATACAGCACTGAAGCAGAGAACATGAAAATCATCATTAAAAATAATTGGGGAATCATCCAAAGTGATACACTACCACGAAGTCTTCCCAGAGCCACCAGTCATAAGCTTTAAGAGATGTCCTACTCTAAATGACAAATTAGTCCACAGCTATCTTCCTGGTGACCCTCAAAAAAACTTGGCTAGACCACAAACCCAGGGGCTCTTTTAAATACAACCAGTGCATCCATTACAGAAATATTGCACAGAAAAAGTATTTTGTTGACACAGCTTCTAAAATGGAGTATCAAGTCAAGCATTTCATTAACTGCAAAACCACTCATATCATCTACAGATTGGAAAGTCCACAGTGCAAGGTGTTCTACATTGGATGGACAAAGAGACGCTTTCAAGACCGCTTAGCGGAACACAAGAACGCCATATGAGTAGGCAATGAAGACTACCCCATGGCAAGGCATTACAAGTCCTTACACCATGGTGACCCTTCCTCCCTACAAGCTATGGGTATTGATCATGTTCCGGACTCAATTGGTATTGGTATTTTATTAGGATCCCCATTAGCTGTTGCAAAAGCAGCAGGCGGGACCATCTTAAACAGCTAAAAAAAAAAAGGGAAAGTTTGTGGATTTACAAACTACAGGCCACTAAGTACCCTGGTTTAAATGAAGATATGGATTTCTCACCTTTCCTGTAGGGTCATGAGAGGTCCCATTGCTGTCATCTAGTGAACATATTGCTCTACATTTACATTTTAGTCATTTAGCAGACACTCTTATCCAGAGCGACTTACAGTTAGTGAATGCATACATGTTTAATTTAAATGTTTTATATATATAAAATAAAAATAAAAGGGTTTTTTACATTTTTTTAGTTTTTTTCTGCCCTCAGCTATGTTTAGACTTGTGGTCCATGTTTGCTGTGTTCTAGTGTACTGTAAAATAGATGGCTCTCCTATTCTTAACACTTTGCCCAGTCATATTCAAGGTATTTCACTTTTTAATGTGTATAGTATTGCTTACTAGATGTTGTCCAATGAATTCTGTAACCACTCCCTCGTCAAATCAGGGTTGATTGGAAAAAGCTGTTAAAAAGAGGACTTTGTATTATCATATCTTTGAACTCCCTGACGAAGGCCATGCAGCCGAAATGCGTCTGAGTTTTTAAACTTTGTTTCCATTGAACATGCCATACAAATAAAGGCATTTCAATTAATTATATGAAGAATGCCTTGGTCCTCCTTTCTTTTTGATGACTAATTTACCTATTTTACCAAAGAGCTCCTTCTGTCTACCAAAACCTACTATTGTGTACCTTAGCAGCGCTTCCCTTACTTCTTTTTTTTTAACCTGAACTGTGGTTTTAGTTTTTTAATTTTCCACCCTGGTCATAGGCCTATGCCATGTAAAATACGTAGAATTGCAGGAAATGAGCTCTAAAACAGTAACATTGTACTGGGGGAGGACCCCCAGTCCCCCGTCTAGCGGATGTGCCATGGGGCAATGAAATTCACATAGCAAATCTCACTCCAAGCTTTCTTCAAACGTTGGCAGCCCTGTGGATGTATCCAAATAAATATCACTAGAAAACAGCTTAAACAAACGCAAATGCAGCTACTTTCTGTTATTCTGGCTGCACTGTTTGAGGTGACTGTAAGTTAGCTGCAGTTGGCTAGCTAGCAAGCAAGGGATAAGAACATTGCCAGCCAGTATGGCAATGGAACATTTGGAATGAACGACTGGGTCCCGTCTCTGGCAACCGAACCGATAGAACCAACGACCTGCCGGCTTGGGTAGCAACCATAGATTTGTGTCGGGACTATATCTCCTGGAAGGATGAAATAGTATTAATAAATTCATCAAAATAACGTTTTTTAATGAAAATATGTCAATCATTATTTGAATATGTTGGTAACCTGTTGTATATAAGTGATAATGCCCTCAAAGCCTCGTGTTTGGAGGATATATTGGCATGGTTTGCCGGCCCTCGACTTTGTCTCGGGACTAACAGCACCCGTGCCAATCTTTCCTCCAAACACCGGCAAGTGCATTATCGCTTAATTAGTCATCTAGATAAGTCATGTTGTGTTATGACACAGTGAAACATTACAAATATTGACATGTATTTGAGTGAACGTGAATACACTTTTCCAATGTTAATCTTAAACTAATCTTAAACCAAATTCATTTTTGGGATAGAATGGATTTAAATGAATATATGCCACTTAGAAGAGTATTATCCAAAGCAACTTACATTACAGCAGTGGTAGAAAAAGTACCCAATTGTCATACTTGAGTAAAAGTTAAGATACCTTCATAGAAATGACTCAAGTAAAAGTGAAAGTCACCCAGTAAAATACTACTTCAGTAAAAGTCTAAAAGGTATTTAGTCTTAAATATACTTAAGTATCAATAGTACATGTAATTGGTAAAATATACTTAAGTATCAAAAGTAAACTATAAATATTTTCAAATTCCTTATATTAAGCAAACTAGACGGCACCTTTTTCATGTAGTTTTTTTAAAATTTACAGATAGCCAGGAGCACACTCAAACACGTAGACATCATTTATAAACTAAGCATGTGTGTTTAGTGAGTCCACCAGATCAGAGGCAGTAGGGATAACCAGGGATGTTCACTTAAGAAGTGCGTGAATTGGACCATTTTCCAGTACAGTTAAGCATTCAAAATGTAAGGAGTACTTTTGGGTGTCAGGGAAAATCTATGGAGTAAAAAGTACATTATTTTCTTTAGGAATGTAGTGAAGTAAAAGTAAAAGTTGTCAAAAATATAAATAGTAAAGTAAAGTACAGATACAATGACCTAAGTAGTACTTTAAAGTATTTTTACTTAATTAAGTGTATATGTTTTTTGTATGTACAGTTGAAGTCGTAGGTTTACATACACTTAGGTTGGAGTCATAAAACTCGTTTTTCAACCACTCCACAAATTTCTTGTTAACAAACTATAGTTTTGGCAAGTCGGTTAGGACATCTACTTTGTCCATGACACAAGTCATCTTTCCAACAATTGTCTACAGACAAATTATTTCACTTATAATTCACTGTATCACAATTCCAGTGGGTCAGAAGTTTACATAAACTAAGTTGACTGTGCCTTTAAACAGCTTGGAAAATTCCAGAAAATTATGTCATGGCTTTAGAAGCTTCTGATAGGCTAATTGACATCATTTTAGTCAATTGGAGGTGTACCTGTGGATGTATTTCAAGGCCTACCTTCAAACTCAGTGCCTCTTTGCTTGACATCATGGAAAAATCAAAAGAAATCAGCCAAGACCTCAGAAAAACAATTGTAGACCTCCTTTGGAGAAATTTCCAAACGCCTGAAGGTACCACATTCATCTGTACAAACATTAGTACGCAAGTATAAACACCATGGGACCACGCAGCAGTCATACCGCTCAGGAAGGAGACGCGTTCTGTCTCCTAGAGATGAACGTACTTTGGTGCAAATCAATCCCAGAACATCAGCAAAGGACCTTGTGAAGATCCTGGAGGAAACAGGTACAAAAGTATCTATATCCACAGTAAAACAAGTCCTATATCGACATAACCTGAAAGGCCGCTCAGCAAGGAAGAAGCCACTGCTCCAAAACCGCCATAAAAAAGCCAGACTACGGTTTGCGGACAAAGATCGTACTTTTTGGAGAAATGTCCTCTGGTCTGATGAAACAAAAATAAAACTGTTTGGCCATAATGACCATTGTTATGTTTGGAGGAAAAAGGGGGTAGCTTGCAAGCCGAAGAACAACATCCCAACTGTGAAGCATGGGGTGGCAGCATCATGCTGTGGAGTTGCTTTGCTGCAGGGGGGACTGGTGCACTTCACAAAATAGATAACATCATGAGGAAGGAAAATTACGTGGATATATTGAAGCAACATCTCAAGACATCAGTCAGGAAGTTAAAGCTTGGTCGCAAATGGGTCTTCCAAATGGACAATGACCCCAAGCATACTTCCAAAGTTGTGGCAAAATGGCTTAAGGACAACAAAGTCAAGGTATTGGAGTGGCCATCACAAAGCCCTGACCTCAATCCTATAAAAAATGTGTGGGCAGAACTGAAAAAGCGTGTGCGAGCAAGGAGGCCTACAAACCTGACTCAGTTACACTAGCTCTGTCAGGAGGAATGGGCCAAAATTCACCCAACTTAGTGTGGGAAGCTTGTGGAAAGCTACCCGAAACGTTTGACCCAAGTTAAACAATTTAAAGGAAATGCTACCAAATACTAATTGAGTGTATGTAAACTTCTGACCCACTGGGAATGTGATTAAATAAATAAAAGCTCTCTACTATTATTCTGACATTTCACATTCTTAAAATAAAGTGGTGATCCTAACTGACCTACCCAGGGAATTTTTACTAGGATTAAATGTCAGGAATTGTGAAAAACTGAGTTTAAATGTATTTGGCAAAGGTGTATGTAAACTTCCGACTTCAACTGTATGTGAACCCATTACCATGGTGCTACTATGGGCCACGCTCTTAACAACTTATCAATCAGGACCAAAATACATATTTTAGGAGGTTTGTTAGAATTTGCATGGAACTCTTACTGATGCTGAATCATCTTGAAAAGGTCCCAGTCCACAAATGATCTCCCCTGAACGTAACATGAAGTGCACTGAGAGCAAGATGTTTGGATACGGTTGGTAGCATGACTCACACTGAGACAGAGCTAAAAGGGAAACAACAGTTTTCAGCCATTTTAGCCATTGTTTTTCAACAACACAGTTTACATCAATTAGTTGAACGTACATGGGCACACACACAATAATGACACTATTACAGTGAATGTAAAAGTAGAATGAATCACTATTTATCCATCTAATACTCTACCTTTCAAAAAAACGTGAAGATGGGATTTGCTTCTTTGGTATCCACTCAGGTTTCCAGAGATGTGAAAGAGAAATAGTCTCAAGAAGACCAAATATCCCAGCTAAAAGAGCACAACAAAGTTGCACAGGTGAACTAAATATAATACAATTCAAGTTCTTGCCCTATTTTAGGAGTATGGCTATTCTGTAAACTTGTTACATAGGATATATGTTTTCCCACAGTGACACGTACTTAAAAGAAACCTAGATCTGCCCACTCTACCTTGAGTATCTTCACTTCGCAGGTGTACAAATTGGGCTTCTGAGACATATCAGTACAGACCCAGTACAAGACTGACTCTCCCAGGTAAAAGAGGGCAGGAATCTGTTCTGCATGCACTGGAGCATGGTCCAATGACATCAGAAGGGAATCCAGGGAATCTAAAGAGGTAACACAATGTTTGTCTTGATTTACCAAAAAACGGTGTGTTAATAGCTATGGCATAACCATATTATTCATAATCATTATAATTACTGAGGCCCTAAATCTTTCCTGACCATGTGACCTGACCAGGAAAACCTCTAGGCTCTAGTTATATAGTTATAGTAGTCTATAGGGCCCAGAGTTTTTAATGGTAAGGTAAAATGTTAAGGAAAAGAATCAGGGCCCAACCCAATCATTACAATACAGTTATTGAAAAGTGCACCCTATGCACAATAGGTATATAATAGGTCTCTCATTAATAACCTACCATTTTGAATTTTACCACGGCACAAACCAAGCAACAGCAGCTCTGTCCATGCCAGAGGAAGCTCAACGTGGTAGCCCTCACCCATGCATTTCAGTCCAGCTCTGCGCTGTTGAGAAAATATATGATTATTTTGAGGTATACAGCAGGGTTGGGGTCAATTCCATTTAAATTCCTGTCAATTCAGAAAGTAAACCAAATTCCTATTCCACATTTTTCCTAATTGAAACACATTGAAGAGAATTGGAATTTCAGTGTACTTCCTGAATTGACTGGAATTGAAATGGAATTGGCCCCAACCGTAGTGTACAGTGAAATAGCCACATATATTCGATTTTGTCACCATCTGCTGGGAATTCTGTGAACTGTCACAGAAGATGGTTGAGGATCGAAAGCTGGACATTGACACCTGGGTTGCGTTCAGTACGAAAAAACATAATGGTACGTTCAATTAAACGGAAACGGTGCTGTTCTGAACGACCAGTTGAAAAAGGGGAGGGGTTGGGTTGTGGGTTGGGGAACGCTGTCAGCATGTCCGCTCCGCTTTAAATACGTCACTCATCGCTTCAAGCCACACACTGCCATACCCACCAAACAGAACAAATGTACCTCAAAGTCTGTTCAAGAACTTTGAAGAACGTTTTGGAGAAAGGTATCGTTCAGTACAAGCCGTTATGCAATGTAACAAACGTTTAATCGAACTGAACGCACCCCTGGATCATGATCATTAGGGAACATTTTTAAACGTTTTGCAACAGAAAATGAACATTTCTTATTGGACAAGTCCAGGTAATCACCTTGCTTCGGCTAAGTAGTTGTCGTGCCAGTTCAACATACTTTTCATGTTTCTCAGAGCCCTGGGAATTGTTGTACTTTTTGATAAACTGCTCTGTTATCTCAAATGGGTTTCTGTAAAATAGACACATTTTATCATACATTAGGCATAAGTGAAGACAACAACCTTACAGTACATTTACATTTTCATCATTTAGCAGACGCTCTTATCCAGAGCGACTTACAGTTAGTGAGTGCATACATTATTTTTATATTTTATTCATACTGGCCCCCCCGTGGGAATCGAACCCACAACCCTGGCGTTGGAAGCGCCATGCTCTACCAACTGAGCTACACGGGGCCCAGTAGTAGGCTATGCAATTTTTTACGAAGGGGTATATACACATTTTACAAAAATATATCGAGATTGAAACAGTAAAACATAATTCTGTCAGTAGCCTAAATTGAGTTCCCCCATTCTAGCTCATTTTGCAGAGACAGAGCTTGAACCAGCAACCCTGAGGTTATTGGGCAAGTTCACCACCACCTTTGCCATATGGTCCAGGGCCCATATTCACAAAACACTTATTACGCAAAAACTTAAGAAGCTTCTTATGAAAAAAAATAAGAAGTTCATAAGATGCAGAGGTCAGACGTTTCTTGTAGTTGGCCACCAGGTTTCAGCTTTAATATTGCAAATAGATTGTAAATTCCATCAATGTAATTGTCTGCATCATTTCCAATCCCCCATATATTTTTTTTGGTAAAAATAAATAAATATATATATATATATACAGTGAGGAAAAAAGTATTTGATCCCCTGCTGATTTTGTACTTTTACCCACTGACAAAGACATGATCAGTCTATAATTTTAATGGTAGGTTTATTTTAACAGTGAGAGACAGAATGACAACAAAAAAATCCAGAAAAACGCATGTCAGAAATGTTATAAATTGATTTACATTTTAATGAGGGAAATAAGTATTTGACCCCTCTGCAAAACATGACTTAGTACTTGGTGGCAAAACCCTTGTTGGCAATCACAGAGGTCAGACGTTTCTTGTAGTTGGCCACCAGGTTTGCACACATCTCAGGAGGGATTTTGTCCCACTCCTCTTTGCAGATCTTCTCCAAGTCATTAAGGTTTTGAGGCTGACGTTTGGCAACTCGAACCTTCAGCTCCCTCCACAGATTTTCTATGGGATTAAGGTCTGGAGACTGGCTAGGCCACTCCAGGACCTTAATGTGCTTCTTCTTGAGCCACTCCTTTCTTGCCTTGGCCGTGTGTTTTGGGTCCTTGTCATGCTGGAATACCCATCCACGACCCATTTTCAATGCCCTGGCTGAGGGAAGGAGGTTCTCACCCAAGATTTGACGGTACATGGCCCCGTCCATCGTCCCTTTGATGCGGTGAAGTTGTCCTGTCCCATTAGCAGAAAAACACCCCCAAAGCATAATGTTTCCACCTCCATGTTTGACGGTGGGGATGGTGTTCTTGGGGTCATAGGCAGCATTCCTCCTCCTCCAAACACGGCGAGTTGAGTTGATGCCAAAGAGCTCGATTTTGATCTCATCTGACCACAACAATTTCACCCAGTTCTCCTCTGAATCATTCATATGTTCATTGGCAAACTTCAGACAGGCCTGTATATGTGCTTTCTTGAGCAGGGGGACCTTGCGGGCGCTGCAGGATTTCAGTCCTTCACGGCGTAGTGTGTTACCAATTGTTTTCTTGGTGACTATAGTCCCAGCTGCCTTGAGATCATTGACAAGATCCTCCCGTGTAGTTCTGGGCTGATTCCTCACCATTCTCATGATCATTGCAACTCCACGAGGTGAGATCTTGCATGGAGCCCCAGGCCGAGGGAGATTGACAGTTATTTTGTGTCCCTTCCATTTGCGAATAATCGCACCAACTGTTGTCACCTTCTCACCAATCTTGTCACTGACATTCTTGGAGAGCTCTTTGGTCTTGGCCATGGTGGAGAGTTTGGAATCTGATTGATTGATTGCTTCTGTGGACAGGTGTATTTTATACAGGTAACAAGCTGAGATTAGGAGCACTCCCTTTAAGAGTGTGCTCCTAATCTCAGCTCGTTACCTGTATAAAAGACACCTGGGAGTCAGAAATCTTTCTGATTGAGAGGGGGTCAAATACTTATTTCCCTTATTAAAATGCAAATCAATTTATAACATTTTTGACATGCGTTTCTCTGGATTTTTTCGTTGTTATTCTGTCTCTCACTGTTCAAATAAACCTACCATTAAAATTATAGACTGATCATTTCTTTGTCAGTGGGAAAACGTACAAAATCAGCAGGGGATCAAATACTTTTTTCCCCCTCACTGTACTATATACATTTTATGGACACAGTCAATTTTACAATAATTCTATTTTGTTTGTTTTTACTCCTGAACTTCCTCTACCCTCAACCTCTGCGAATTATTTATTTCAGCTTTTATTTCTTACATCACATTCCCAGTGGGTCAGAAGTTCACATACACTCAATTAGTATTTGGTAGCATTGCCTTTAAATTGTTTAACTTGGGTCAAACTTTTCGGGTAGCCTTCCACAAGCTTCCCACAATAAGTTGGGTGAATTTTGGCCTATTCCTCCTGACAGAGCTGGTGTAACTGAGTCAGGTTTGTAGGCCTCCTTGCTCGCATACACTTTTTCAGTCCTGCCCACAAATCTTCTATAGGATTGAGGTCAGGGCTTTGTGATGGCCACGACAATACCTTGACTTTGTTGTCCTTAAGCCCTTTGCCACAACTTTGGAAGTATGCTTGGGGTCATTGTCCATTTGGAAGACCCATTTGTGTCCAAGCTTTAACTTCCTGACTGATGTCTTGAGATGTTGCTTCAATATATCCACATAATTTTCCTTCCTCATGATGCCATCTATTTTTTGAAGTGCACCAGTCCCTCCTGCAGCAAAGCACCCCCACAGCATGATGCTGCCACCCCCGTGCTTCACGGTTGGGATGGTGTTCTTCGGCTTGCAAGCGTCCCCCTTTTTCCTCCAAACATAACGATGGTCATTATGGCCAAACAGTTCTATTTTTGTTTCATCAGACCAGAGTTTCATTGTCCCCATGTGCAGTTGCAAACCGTAGTCTGGCTTTTTTATGGCGGTTTTGGAGCAGTGGCTTCTTCCTTGCTGAGCGGCATTTCAGGTTAATGTCGATATAGGACTCGTTTTACTGTGGATATAGATACTTTTGTACCCGTTTCCTCCAGCATCTTCACAAGGTCCTTTGCTGTTGTTCTGGGATTGATTTGCACTTTTCACACCAAAGTACGTCTATCTCTAGGAGACAGAACGTGTCTCCATCCTGAGCGGTATGACGGCTGCATGGTCCCATGGTGTTTATACTTGGGTACTATTGTTTGTACAGATGAACGTGGTACCTTCAGGCGTTTGGAAATTGCTCCCAAGGATGAACCAGACTTGTGGATGTCTACCATTTTTTTTCTGAGGTCTTGGCTGATTTCTTTTGATTTTCCCATGATGTCAAGCAAAGAGGCACTGAATTTGAAGGTAGGCCTTGAAATACATCCACAGGTACACCTCCAATTGACTTAAATGATGTCAATTAGCCTATCAGAAGCTTCTAAAGCCATGACATCATTTTCTGGAATTTTCCAAGCTGTTTAAAGGCACAGTCAACGTAATGAATGTAAACGTCTGACCCACTGGAATTGTGAAACAGTGAATTATAAGTGAAATAATATTTTATCATGCACAAAGTAGATGTCCTAACCGACTTGCCAAAACTATAGTTTGTTAACAAGAAATGTGTTGAGTGGTTGAAAGAGTTTTAATGACTCCAACCTAAGTGTATGTAAACTTCCGACTTCAACTATATATAATGAATATGAATTCGGAGGACAGAAATGATTAAATATTAAAGC